GCCAAACCTAACCACTATACTCAGATGAGTTCAACAAAAATTTACTGAAGATCCTAGCAGTGTCAGGCTCCATGCCAGGCAGTGTGCTAATAGCTGAGGATACTACTACAATGAATCAGGTATTTAATAAGCAGTAAGTAAGACATCATCTCTGCCCTCTAGGAATGCGCATATACGAAACTCTCCTTACTCCAAAGCCCACACCAAGTTATCTTTTTGGTCTGTCTGATACACATGCCCTTAACTAATACATGCAGCAGTTTTTACTTCCTAAGGAAAAAACCTTTATATAATCTTTCCCAAAACAGAATTTTTCTTTTTTGCTATTGAGCTGAAAATGTTTAAAGATTATTAAGATGCCACTTTCAGGTGCACACAGAAGGTACTCCATAATTACAAACCATTGCTATTCTGTTGTCCTGTTTTCTGCCTGCAAACAGGGGCTAATATACAGGAAAAAGTAGGTAGAATAGGTTTTAAGTTTCCCACATTTCAGACTGGGAAAGGAGAAAGAGTGAGTGTTCCAACATAAAGGCAGGTAAGGGAAGCAGAAATGAGAAGTTTAAGGAGATAGCAATGCACAGGAGATAATGGTTAGAAGCAGCTTTCCAGATTCCACATTACAATCAGGACAGAACGTGGCAAAAACAGGTGTCTTGATTAACTTTCACCCTCCTTAACTAGTAACACTGTTAATACAATGTTAAACACAACAATTTCTACCAACAAAAAGGAATGTAAGATATAAATATTTACACCTTGACTTTCTTCCAAAGATTTGAGTACTGAGTACAAGAAATAACTATAAGGTGGTAGTCCCATAAGAAACATCCAGAATGTATAGTAGTCTGGAGGCAAAGCGTTGAGAGGAACTGGTCAACAGAGAATATCCTGGACAGTGAGATCAATTAGGGGAATATTTTGGAATTAAGAAAGCAGTATCACCTAAAATGACTAAGTTTCCTCACAACAGGGCTGTTATTAAAAACCTTCATAAATCTTACCATACATGCAGCACAGTACTTCCCTGTAATACTCAATAATCATTTTATTTTTTGAAACTAAATTCCTACAGCAGTTTTATGGCCTTTTAAAAAGCAATACAATACACACTGATAAATTTTCTTTGCCAACCTCCTCTAGGTTAAGTGCTTTCTAAAAATCTCAAGTAAAACTAAACATATTATAGATGTTATCCAACCATTACAGATTACAATGGGATCGAATTCATTTGTTCTAGACAAATCTATTAACGTGGCCTAATATTTCAACTGCTATTTTGGCAGTCACATCACCAAGCTTTGAGTAAGGTAAATTCAGAAGAACTACCTTTAGGTCAGTTCTCCCCTAATCTGTAAAAATCTTTAACCCAAGTACCTAAAACCTAACTTCATCATTTTGGTTTCAACTTACTTAGACCTTCTTAAACTGTTTTCTAGACCACATAATCTATCAGCACCTGCAAAGCCTTCAGAACTATAAAGACTTCTTCCAGGATGCACTTATTAATCAGTAATCAATACTCTGGTTAAAGCAATGAACTACTAGTTCAATTAGGCAAAACATGCAAGATCACTACAGTCATTGTTTCAGTCAATGAAAGCAAAAAGATTAACCTAGTCCTTACACTCCAGGAGTCAAACGTCTAGTACATTTAAAATAGAAATGCTATATAAATGCTATGAGAAAGCTAAGGAAGCATTAAATTAAAGGGTTAATAAGGGTTGAAGGTGTTATAAAAATAATCCACTGCACTTATCATCCAATCCACATTTTTCAATTTCTTCCAAAGATAGCATGAGCTGTCAAATGTACTTAATATGATAAAAATAAGAATGGCTTTTAAATTACACACTCTTAAAACCAAGGCCTAAAAATCGCATAGACCAGGAAACTACAGCATAAAAAAGGTTCAGAAGACCCTATAAATTAAGTCAGATACTTGAACCTACCTTCTAACTTCTAGACTAGTCACCTCATTTCTCTAGGGAAACAATTTTTTTAAATAAATCATATGAATGTGATATGCTCAGCCGTATTTTTTCGTATATATACATATATTCACAATCCACATATGGGTTTTATTTTTCTATTTAACTTTAAGTGGCTCCTCAAAAAACTAAAAAGCTATTTCCTAATAAATAAAACTTGACTAAACACAAGACTTTTTAATTTCCTTATTTGTAAAAGAATAACAACAAAATCTGTGCTTTGTGAAATTCACATTTGGACTCTGATCCAACCATTCCTCCTGTGATAATAAAGAAACCAACACAATAAACAACTCCTAAGATGCTACCTTGTAATTATCACATCCTAAAGAAATGAAGATACTGTCATCTCTTTGGTATTACCCAGAATACAAACCCCAGAAATGAGTCTCTGGCATATATTCACTGCCTTACTGAAACGCTCATTTGGAACACTAGAGACCCCTTAAACCACAGCTCAACCTTATTACCTGTTAATTCACATTCTCTCACAACTATACAACGAAAGGCTGACACAACCCACTTAGCCTATCACTACTGGTTCTGTCTGCCAGAATCAGTATTAAAGTGGTTTTCTAATTTATTACTTTATTCTCAAATTTAACATAAGATAGATATTAAGAAGCACTGAGACAGCAATAAAACTTGAACATATAAAAAATGAACTCAAGTTTGACTGCATAACTGTGTATCATTATTTTTTGTAACATGGTCTCAACAGTTAAATCTTTGGACAGCGATGTGGTCATAAACATGATGTAATATGAGAACTGGTTTGTAAACTCAAGATTTCGAGAATTTTCCCAATCTCAAATTCCTCAAAGACAAGAGCACAGTACAGGTGCTTTACACTGGAAGCACAATATCCTTACTCAAAACTGAAAACAGTAAAGACAGAAAGCCTAGTCAACTTTTTCTAAGGTCTCTTCTGGTCCCAACAATAGTCCTCTACCCCAGCTTCTACTTTCTCAGGTTTAAACACCAACTGATACTAGTTGATTTACACATCATTTAGTTTCTAGAAATGCTTCCCTCAAAACCTCAAATTAGAAATTTCAAACATGAGATATTAAATTTTAAGAGAAAAATTAATTTAAAAATCTTTTTCATAATTTCCAGAAATATACAAATCAATTTTTAGTTAGAAGAGAAATTTCCAACTCTTTACAGTTTACCTTTTCAAATTGCTGAAAAACTATTCAAATGCTGAGAGTACATAACCAAATTACAAGAGACAGTGGGAAATTGGTAATCGCTTCTGAATTATATACTAAATTTAAAATTTTAAGTAATTTTAAAAATCGCATTTCAGTCTTCACTAAAATTTTTTCTCCTTCAAACTGTTTTTGTATAGTGATACAAAATGGTTTCCTTTAATCCAAAGTTAAATCTAATCCACTGTTTTCCTACATGTATTTTTAAAAAATACTTACATTTCTACTTCCTCTGAAATGGGTGTCATTAATTATGTAAAAAAATAAAAATATTTTCGAATTATAAAAATGTAAAGTACAACTATACCCATCCTCCTTTAGTTGATGACACTATGATTATTTAATGTACAAAATCAAAACGAAAAGACCAGTAATGCCTAAAAAAAAAACTAACCAAAATAAAAGGTTAAATTTTATATAATTCACTTTCTGTATAATCCTCCCCAATATAAGACAATCAATGCTATCTAAGAAACGAAATGGAGAAGTTCATGAGGTTATTTCCTATTGGGTGATGTGTTTACTCGTCCAGAATGTTGCAGGAGAAAGTAGGTGTTCCACTAGATAAACTCTAAAGTCTCTTTCAGTTCTAAGATTCCTAATCTGTGGTAGGATGTGAAAAATAACGGAAGGAAACATTTTGCCTTTCAATCAATCGATCTGCATTCATTCCCACCCTAACTGCATGTATGGAGACCAAAAAAAAGTTCTCCCCTTTCTCTGCAGTGATTTCACGAAACCCTCGTTAACAAAAGGCACGGAAAATATGCACAGGTGGGATAAAAAGGGGAGTGGCTGAAGCCAGGCAGCGCTCGGGACAGCGCCACCACTGCCCCGCCGCCCCAAGGCACCTGAGAAATCACTGTCTTCCACACCTCCACCCTTCCGCGGTGGCGTCGCCAGCGAATTCTCCGACCTATTACCGCTCACCAGTACCTTGGCCACACTGGGCATTGTCTGGAGCCTCCAGCGCCCAAGAAAGACGTGGAGGAAAGAGAAGGCAAGGGGAGAACGAGTCACAATGAAGAACCACGGAAGGAGAAGGAAGTAAAGCAATCAGGAAGCCGTACGCTCCTCTTGGCAAAACTGGCTTCCCTACCGATCAATCAATTTAATTCGGATCCCAAAAGACAACCCCATGGCCCAAAGTAGCAGCGGTGGGTGGCCCAGTCGGAATCCCGAAGCCAACCGGGTCGAGAGCCCCGGTGCAGGGGGAGAGGGCGTGTGGGTTGGGCCTGGCTGGCCGGAGGCCGGGCTCCGAACAAAGCCACCCGGCTCCCCCTACCTGGGGCGAGGGCGGTGGGCGGCGCCTCGCGGCTACCCGCACCGCCTCTAATCGGCGACGCCCTTGCCCCGGGGGCCCCAGTCGGTCGGGGCCCGCGGGCGGCCCCCTTCTGGCCCTGGAACGGCGCCCCTTCGGGACAATGGGACCCCCTCCCCCGCCTCCAAGCAGAAATATACAAAGGCTGAGAAGTGCGGCCCGGCACGGAGCCAGGCGTCCGGAAAGTGAGGGACGGAGGATGGCGGCGGGCGCGGCAGCCACCGGCCGCTCCGCCTCGCTGTCCAAGCGCTGTCCTCAGACCCCTCGCGGGAGCAGAGGCGTAAGCGCGGACCGCAGCCCCGCAACCCCCGGCCGAGCGCGACGGGGTCTGCACACAAAGAGGGGGCCGCCCAGCCTCCGCCAGGGGCGGGGACCGCCAGCGCGCCTCGCAGCCGACGGTCCGCGGCGCCCGCCTAGCCCGCGCCCCTCGGGGGCCAACGGCCGGGCGCGCGAGGGCCCCTCGCTCGGACTCACCCACAGCTCCGTGCCCCAGCTCATGGCGGAACTTGAGGACTCCCACCGTCTGGCTGAACCCCCGTCTGTCCGTCCGTCCGTTGGCCCCGCCGTCGGTCTGTGTGGCCTTCGCTGGCTGGTCGGCAGGCTCGCGGCTCTGGTGCTCTGGCTCCGAAGGTGCCGCCACCGCCGGGTTCCCCAGTGAGTGGGAAAGACGCGACTGGAGGAGCAGCCGCCGACGCCGCGTCCCCGCCTCCCGGAGCCGACAGGGAGGGGGCCCGCGCGGAGGGGAGGCGGGCCGCCGAGCGGGGAGGGGTCGGGGCGCGGTGCACCCTGGGATCGCGGCGGATCTGGCTCCCCCGGCGTCCGCCGGCTGGGCCCCTGTGGAAGGGTCTCTGTCCGCCGTCCTCTTCCCGCGCGCCGCTCGGGGCTCCCACAGTTCTGCCGCCGCCGCCATTCGGACCTCTTTCTCCAAGGAGAGGGAGAGAAGGAAAGACGCCCATCGCCCCGCTCTGCCCTGAGACCCCTTGGAAGAGGCAACTCCAGTTTCCCGCCCTTCCTGCCTCTTGGATCCACTTGAGAGAAACCCTGACAAGGAACCTAATCCAAATCCTTGAGTATAGACTGTGGAGAGCTGTGCTGTATTTTTTTGTTGTTTGTTTTACGTGTCGAGGAATAAGGTTATCTTGGGAATGGCTAAAATATGTATATATTGAACGTCAAATGTGAACGCACCGCCCCCGATTCTGTTTTTAATAAAACATCTTAATTTTTTAAGTTCTATCAGAAAAAAACACAAAAAGAGGCAGATCTTTCAGCATTCACTTTGGGGCGTTGCCGTGACACGAGATGGAAGACGTAGACAAATTTGAGCCGAGCTGTCACCTACAGGAAACGAATTCCGAACTTGCCCCATTTCTGGAATGGACACCTAGTGTGTGCGGTGGGACGGGAGCCAGTTTACTCCGCGCAGCGCAAAGAGCTTTTTCGCAGTTTCAGAGTATCAGAACCTTGGAGACAGGTCCACCATTTCTTTTTACCCTGGAGTTATTTCCCGGCCTTTCTGAGCAATCATTAACTGCGGGCAGCAAGTTTGGTGCTAGTAGATATCAAGTACGCCTCCCTAATATATGCTTTAGCATGACTTGCTTGTCCCCTAAACACACACGCACGCACACACACATACACACGCTTCAATCCAGTCACTTGAAGTGTACTCCCCAGTGTCATGACAGCTGAGTCTCTTAAGAAGTTCTCCCAACCCGCGTGTCATGAATCAAAACGGCTCCTTAAACGGCCCTTGCTCAGTTGCCCCAATTTCTACTCTTTAGTCTTTGTCCCTGACTAGCTTGGCTCCCTCTTGGGATTGAGGCAAATCGACTGAGCCCCCCTAACAGTCCAGCCACCACTCTTGTAAATTATTTTCCACCTTTCTCTTGAGTCCAACCTGAGCACACAAATACCCCCTCCTAAGTGGACAATGGCCAATTTTTAAGTGCTTAAGTGTGCCATTCAGTGAAAAGGCTGTGAAGCACTGACTAAAACTCTCTTACCAATATTTTACTATACTGCCTCTATTTCAAATAGAATTCCTTCAAGGTTTTTTATATCACCTAACAATGCTATCTACCTCTCTCTTCCTCTCACTCACTAGCCATCATGAATGTATTCAGCAATTACAAGTAACATTTAGTAAAGGAAAATGTATTTATTAAATTCTATCTCATTTTTTAGAACCATTCCAATACTAAAATTTATTGTGTCTAACTATTGTCATAAAAGTTAAAACATGGAGCACAATTTAAACCAAAATTACATGCTTTCCCTTTAAAAAGTAAAATAATCTACCATTCACATTAAAGATTATCTTCAACCATACTGTTGACACTGATTCCCCAAATGAATATAAACTCTAATATCCCAAGTGAACATTTTTCTTCTTCCAAAGTTTCTGAACAGAACTCCACACTTAAAACATCTCATTTCTCTTCAAAAAGTTAGGTTTTTGACCATCATATTCAGATAAAATTTTCATTATCCTACATTACTATAAAATTTAAATATAATTAACATAACCAACTTAAATTAATAATCCCTTTTAAATACTTGCAACTTAAAAATTCATACTAAAACTCACTATTTTACTTCAACAGTCTTTAAGCAAAAATGATTAAAAAGAAAAACTATCACAACAAAAGAATATGTTTTATGTTATATTTTATAACAATAATAATTTTATTTCTTTATGTTATAAACATTTAGCTAATGCCCTTTCTAGTTTCAAATTTTGGCAGGCATAAATTCCTTAATTCCTTTATTAAATCAGATTGTGAAACATAGTTTTTCACTGCTGCAATACATCAAACTCCAAACATAAATCAATCTCTTATCTTAAGATTAAATTTTTCAAAAGTTTATTCCATACATAAAGTTAGTAATGTCTTAAGCCCTTTTTGAAAAGTTCCCGAAGTAAAAATAAAGCTTTAGGAGTGTAGAAAGCTTTTCTTACCATGTATGTATCAGTGGCCCATCCATATATGGTTCCCGAGAATTTCCACTATTGAAAGGAAATAATCTTTAGCATAAACAAAAGCAACTGTTCTCTTGTTGAAATATCTTAAGACTCTTAAACTAAAACTGTAGCAGCAATGTACACAAATAGAATCATTATCTGCATAGGTAGTCCAGAACAATCAAACGAAAACAATTTTAGGCAGAATAGCAAAGCAACAAACTTGGCACCTCTGTTTTAATACTTCAAATGGGGCACTGTACCAGAAACTGGATCATACTAGAATACTGATCCATGCCAACCAAATGAAGGATGGCACTGACTAGTTAATAGTCATCACTACTTTCTGCACTGCAAGTTTCCCTAACAGAGAATGGGAAGAAATTCAAAATTTCTAGAGCATAATTTAAGGTGGCTCACTGAAGAAAAAGAAGGAAAACCACCTACTATTTTGTCTATGGGGATTCTACTCTCCATTGTTGTATCTAGTTAAAGCATTTTATATAATTGCTCTAATGAAACAACAAAAAGAAATAAGTAAAACAAAAAATTCTATATAAATCAAATGGAATAGATCTGTTTAAAGACATAACTCATTTATTCTATAGCGATTGGTTCTTTTCCACTAGTTATTACAGAACTGTGCAACTTTAAAAGCATTTAGGTATTTAAATTTAGATAAAATTCTTTTTAGAGCCAGCAGACCTGGTAGAACAAAAGTTACAGCTATCTTCAGGTGTTTACTGCACCTTCGACTGCTGCAATACATCAAACTCCAAACATAAATCAATCTCTTATCTTAAGATTAAATTTTTCAAAAGTTTATTCCATACATAAAGTTAGTAATGTCTTAAGCCCTTTTTGAAAAGTTCCCGAAGTAAAAATAAAGCTTTAGGAGTGCAGAAAGCTTTTCTTACCATGTATGTATCAGTGGCCCATCCATATATGGTTCCCGAGAATTTCCACTATTGAAAGGAAATAATCTTTAGCATAAACAAAAGCAACTGTTCTCTTGTTGAAATATCTTAAGACTCTTAAACTAAAACTGTAGCAGCAATGTACACAAATAGAATCATTATCTGCATAGGTAGTCCAGAACAATCAAACGAAAACAATTTTAGGCAGAATAGCAAAGCAACAAACTTGGCACCTCTGTTTTAATACTTCAAATGGGGCACTGTACCAGAAACTGGATCATACTAGAATACTGATCCATGCCAACCAAATGAAGGATGGCACTGACTAGTTAATAGTCATCACTACTTTCTGCACTGCAAGTTTCCCTAACAGAGAATGGGAAGAAATTCAAAATTTCTAGAGCATAATTTAAGGTGGCTCACTGAAGAAAAAGAAGGAAAACCACCTACTATTTTGTCTATGGGGATTCTACTCTCCATTGTTGTATCTAGTTAAAGCATTTTATATAATTGCTCTAATGAAACAACAAAAAGAAATAAGTAAAACAAAAAATTCTATATAAATCAAATGGAATAGATCTGTTTAAAGACATAACTCACTTATTCTATAGCGATTGGTTCTTTTCCACTAGTTATTACAGAACTGTGCAACTTTAAAAGCATTTAGGTATTTAAATTTAGATAAAATTCTTTTTAGAGCCAGCAGACCTGGTAGAACAAAAGTTACAGCTATCTTCAGGTGTTTACTGCACCTTCGCAAACCCATTCAAAATTTCCTCTAATTAAATTCTTAAAGTACTCCTATGGGTGTTTTGTTTGTTTTCTGGGGTTTTTTGCCCTGTTGAAAAATTTCATGATACATACATCAATTAACAAAAAGAACACCTAGTTCTCTATTTTCTTCTATGAAATCCAATCAAGTGTATCATATGCACTTACAGAAATAAGTCCAGTTTTAATAGGCTCACAAGAGCCAATTGTTAAGTTTTCAGGAATTTTGCAAACAGGTTGTTTAAAATGTTAGCTTCGTATTATTCATGGTGAGAGTATTTACACCATAGAAACTGGCAAATGCTACAAATCCAGGTTGTGTTTTCCCTTGGAGAACTAATTGTTAAAGATCAGCACACCACTGCCTAAATCCTATGCAGATTAACAGCAAAGGAAATGGAAATGTACCTTTAGCTACTAAGTGAGAAAAATTCTGAAATGGAATGATAAAATTTAATTTTACTGAGTCCATTTAGATGTATTTGGGATACTCAGGATCTAACATCATAATTTTTTAGAATCATACCCATTATGGTAATCCATGCTTCTATGTCTTCACACAGGATTCTAGTGTTTGTCATTTGATATTTATTATAACATTTATAGATTTAGTTAAAAAGTTATAAATCACAATTTTGCATCTTCCATGTCAGGATTCTATAATACCTATAAATTAGTGCTTAATACTATTTTGTTGATAATAAAGATGATTTAGAGAAATAATCAATAACAGAAATTATCTCTAGGCTGGTTCTCTTCATCCTTTTTCAAACCTCATTAGCTAAGGTTTTAATCCTTCTTTTAAAACCTAAAATAGCTCAGACTTTAGCTTTTTTAAATTTTTTGAAAGTAAGATGACCTACTGTATGTAAATTCAAAGTATTTTTTTATGTTAGTGACCAGTTCATTATAACAATATAGTTTATTCCATTAAATGAAATGGTAAATTAAAGCCACTCATTTTTTTTTTTGAGAGGGCATCTCTCATATTTATTGATCAAATGGTTGTTAACAGCAATAAAATTCTGTATAGGGGACTCAATGCTCAATGCACAATCATTAATCCACCCCAAGCCTAATTCTCATCAGTCTCCAATCTTCTGAAGCATAACGAACAAGTTCTTACATGGTGAACAAATTCTTACATAGTGAATAAGTTCTTACATGGTGAACAGTACAAGGGCAGTCATCACAGAAACTTTTGGTTTTGATCATGCATCATGAACTATAAACAATCAGGTCAAATATGAATATTTGTTTGATTTTTATACTTGATTTATATGTGAATCCCACATTTCTCCCTTATTATTATTATATTATTTTTTTTAATAAAATGCTGAAGTGGTAGGTAGATGCAAGATAAAGGTAGAAAACATAGTTTAGTGCTGTGAGAGAGCAAATGTAGATGATCAGGTGTGTGCCTGTAGATTAAGTGTTAATCCAAGCTAGACAAGGGCAATAAAACATCCACGGATGCAGAAGATTTCTCTCAAAACAGGGGGGGTGAGGTTCTAAGCCTCACCTCTGTTGATCCCCAATTTCTCACCTGATGGCCCCCCTGTGACTGTGCCTGTCTTAGGTTGTTCCTCCCTTGA